TCTGTTACAGCTACATTTTTTACTATTTCAGACTTCTGGTAAGGTTAAATATTCCATTTAATGTTAATTTCATATCTACCAAAGTTTTTAATGACAGTGGTACGTACATCATATGAAAAAATTTAAAGTTGAAACATAAGAGTGCAAAGTTTTAGTGAACGTCACTTTTTGTTGAATAAAAATCAAAATCTTGGACACTGGAATTCCTGGAATCATGTCACCAACTTGAAATTCAGTAACTTTCAGCAACTGACTGCAATTACTATCACCTTAGTGCAAGATGACCCTGAATATTAAGAATGTTAAAACTTCAAGAACATCATAACCACAAGCTTCGATTACCGTCATTACACCAACAGCAAATGGACAAACTCCCAGCAAGCTTCTACTCACACATGCTCGTAGTTATTGGGACACAATAGCAGATGTAATGACACAATTATCGGGCCCGGGAGGCTATCATGCCAACAGCCGCTCACATAACCGAGATGAGAAGCCAACTGCCAGTAACTGCTTACCAATGCTGGCCAGTAGGCGCTGTTTACTTACAGCTTTACTTGCAGCTTTACTTACAGCTTTACTTGCAGCTTTACTTACAGCTTTACTTGCAGCTTTACTTGCAGCTTTACTTGCAGCTTTACTTGCAGCTTTACTTGCAGCTTTACTTACAGCTTTACTNCCTGCAGTTTGAAATGCAACGCATCGAAATGAAAATTTGTTAAGTTCATGAAACAGAATTAAAGACCATTTATCACTTTCAATAAAATTTATTATCTATTACGAACTTAATTTGACATCCTTGTGAGCTCGTGATGTTAGAACCGACGTAAAATATCGCTGTACTCTGTATCACGAAGTAGGGAATAATATAAAAATAAAAGCATTATTTTCGAGGTAATCCGCATCATTCTGAGGGCAATATGAGGATGGAGTTGGAGTTGACGGCCGGCATGGGTCATAATTGTTCAAATTAGGGACACACTTGCTACGTGTGGCACAGACATGTCCTTTTTCTGGGCCAAACAGGGGCAGGGTGTTCCACATTAGGGAAAAATATATAACTCAGTACTCACTGCAGTGAGTGACAGAGAGCGCATTTTTTCGTCGATGAGAACTTGAGGTCACAGACGGACGGATGGACAGACAGACGGACATGGCGAACACAATAGTGCATTTTTTCCATAAATGAGAAAATGCGCTAAAAAGGCATCACTATTTGTACATAGTTACATTTTCTGAGTGCACAATTCCTGCACCCTGACCTCAATTCGCAAATCCTGACATTAACTTGACGCATGAGTAAAATCTCAATAAAAATGCGAAACAAGAATATCTCATAGTAATTAGATCAATTTTATTTCGGAGTCCGTGGAAAGCACGTGAAGAATACGATAATTAAACTTTCTCAAACAGATCGATTCAAAAGATGCGATGCGAAGTCATATAAATAGGTTTGAATTCTGATATTTTAATTTTTACCATAGAACGCAGCTCAGTTATTTTAAGAGTAAGTAAAGGTTCTGCGATATAATTTGATAAAAGTTAATATTCCCGTATTAATTACTGCAAGGGTATGAATATTTCTAATTATTTTCACGAATTTGTGTATTTCTAATTATTTCGTAAAGATTACGGACGAATAATAGACTTGAGTTAAAGTAAGCACCATATGATCCAAAAAAACAGACCATTGATAAATGGTTGTTGCAAAATTTGCATAAATGTTCCTATGGCATGGGTCAGGAATCAAATTAACTCCTATTAAATCACATGCTATTAAATAAACAATTTTATTCCGAGAGATAAAATATTCTGGAATGGGAAATTGCGCAGTATAAATTGATCTGAATCGTGAATTGTAAATCGTGAATTGTAAATTGAAATGTAAATCTTGACTGTACATTATTACAAACTTTTATTGAGCTGTAGCAGCGTTTGTATTTTTTGAAAGTGTCTCCGGGAATAGCATTTACAGCGATGGAAAATTGCGTAGCGCGCTTACATAATTGATGATAATTGAGTTAGCAATTAAGAGCTTCCTGACTGTTGAGTGAGAAAGTTCAACTAAACTAAACTCAAACTAAATCCCGTGAAAAATTCACATCGTCCAATAACAGTAATTTCTCAACAGATTGAAGAACGAATCTTAAAAAAATTATTTTCTAAATTATGCCGCTTTATGAAAATATATCAATCAGTGACAAATAAATAAAACAGCAAATTTTAGAGTTTCCTCGGTTTTGTTAATTATATTAATATTGTTGATTAATAGTTTTTCTGAAGTATTTTGTCTTATTTTCAGATAATTTTGAAATACAAATTTATCCATAGAGCCTTTATAGCACGAAGAAATGTCGACTCTGAATATTACAAACTAGTTCAACTTTTTCTATTATAATGATTAATTTGAAACGAGTATAAAATATGCAAACGAGTATAACAAATAACCAACATATAGACCTTAAATGAAGCAAATATTGAGCCGGATGTGTATGCAGAGAATTAATTGGAAGGTTTCAAAAAGAGACTCATGAAATGAAACTCCCAGAATAATGATGACAAGAACAGTGATAGACAATAAAAATAATTTAGCAGAACAATGATAGACAGGATGAGATAGGAAAGGAAACTTAACTGGAGTGTGTCAAAAGTGCCGTAAAGTGTCTCGATGATATTGTTATATGATATATAAATAAACATTCGTGAATATAACAAATATTATATGCATTTTAATAATAGCAAGTTTTTGCTTCAGTATCCGCTAAATAGCTTGATAATTGAATGATTAATGGTCATTTGTTCGTATTATGGCTATTCATGTCCATTGTAAGGAATTAAAAAAATATCTCTTCTGCACAACATTTTTCGTCCAATCATTCCCTATTCCATGTTTATTCCTCTTACTCTTTTAACTCGTATAGCATTTCATCTGCTTCCGATTCTCTTCCAGTTTGTTTCATTTACATTTCCTTGGATTAAAATCTCTTCATGTTCAGAACAATGATTGTAATTCATGTTGTGTGTAACTCATTTATTCGATTGTTAATGTAGTTTTTTTTACCCATTTTTATTGAACAATCATTCCAAGCATCACTTGAATGGAGCTTTGTGAATACAGCATAAATCACGCCAACAAAAATACCTATAGTATTTACAAGCTATTATTCTAGATGAATATTTTCAACAGACTATTTGTCGACATGAATATTATAAATAAACTATTAGTCGATATTGATATTACTATTAGACTATTAGTCAATTTTCATATTAACCAATAAAATATTAGTTAATATGAACATTATCGATAAAATATTAGTCAATATGAATATTATTAAAAACTATTAGTCAATATGAATAGTATTAATAAACTATTAGTCAATAAGCATACTATAAATAAACTAATAGTCAATATGATTAGTATTAATAGACTATTAGTCAATATAAATATTATTATTGACACACTATTAAAATATTGCAAATTCGTAATTCCGCACTTCAGGTATAGCAAGCAATCCGCATTGCAATACCGGAACTGATGACGTAAAATTTTGAAGCATTTTATAGGAGGGCTTCACACGGACGCTTTCAGAGGCCGGCAAAAGAAACGACCGCCCAACACTCTCAGAAATGAGTTAGACTTTGTCACAAAACCGTTGCACCATTCGCCCTTGTTTGGGTCATCCTGACTCAGTTTGGGCCCGTAAAAAGGCGTTTCAGCGCACCGTTGTGTCAATGCAATATCGTCAGTGATACGCTATGGGTAACAAAGTGTATCACTATTTGGACAATAGGACCCATGCATTTGTTTGAGTGTAGGGCTGTAGGATTTTACATGAGTGTGAATGGGACCTTTGTGTGTCTTGCCAACCAACGGTGAAAGGAAGAACAAACTTGCAACCGTGAGAGAATGTGTTGCCTATTATGGCTACACGCAAGGTGCCAGAATAGAAAGTTTAGTGATTATAACTTTCTAGAAACCGGATCTCGTAGCTTGATGTTAGATGTCCACAAAGATATACCACATATTTTTTTAAACATTTTTTGAAAGACTTTATTTAAACTGTACATATTTTTATATATATATTTTATATATATAAATTGTATACTGTAGCCGCAGCTTTTACGCATAGCGCGTAGCTTTTGTTTGTAGTTGATAACTGACCTTATTTATTATAGTTATTTTATATTTATAATAAATTTATAAATTATTATATAATAATATTTATATTTATAGTTCCTTATTACTGCGACACCTGAATGTCTTATTAGAGCATTTTCTCATTTATGAAAAAAATACACTATTGTGCTCGCCATGTCCGTCTGTCTGTCTGTACGTCCGTGACCTCAAGTTTTCGTCGACGAGAAAATGCGCTCTCTGTCACTCACTGCAGTGAGTACTGAGTTATATTTTTTTAGTCTTGACGCCGGCTGTTGTGGTTGGCGTGAGACGCGGGACTTTAAGCTAGTTCTCTGATGTAGTTATACTGATGAATTCCATGTAGTAATGTTCCGTTAATTTTCAGAATTATGAAAAATGATTTCAACCACTGTAATCATACACCTTATTTACCTTAGCAACCGATAGCCTGTTGATTGTTTTTTATGTTATTAAAATTTGCTCCATCTACAAAGTTTGATTACTTGTGTGAATTACACTCCTGGTCAGTTTAAACGTGAAAACCATTGCTAGAATGGTACGTAACCACCCTATAGGCTGCATGCATGCATATCAGCTGTTACACATACATTTATTATTCAGCGCAAAATAAATTGTCGGAGAAATTATGACGGTAGCGTGCAAAACCAGATACTTTTTCAAATCAGTTTGGAATAAGAACATTTAAGATGAAACGAATCAAGGTTATGCCGATTTTGCCACTAAAAATATTGGCATTTACGGAGGCCGGATAGAAGAAATAGGTTATTTAATTAAGTACGTCTTGTAAGAGGCGTATATCGAAATAAATCTCAAATAATTTTATTTAACTTAAAATACTTACGAGTGCGTTGGCTGCAGACGCAGCTGAGCAGACGAGCAGCACAGCGAGACCGAGCAGCACCGCACTGCGCATGGTCGCGGTTGTCTGCAACGAATAACGTTAATGGACGTTATTATCTTAGGAATGCAAATTAACATGCGCAAGAAATGGAAATTACTTCAGACATGTGCTGCCATTTGTCATCGGCGGATAATAAAAATTATTTCAGTCATGGATTGTCATGTCACTGGCAGAGATTAAAATAACGCCCGTGGACATTATTATCTTAAGAATGCAAATTAACATACGTAAGGAATAAAAATTATTTCGGACATATGTTGTCATTTGTCATCGGCAAATAATACAGATTATTTCAGTCATGGATTGTCATGTCCCTGTCGGAGAATAAATATTATTCCAGGCTTGGATTCATAGTTGTCAAAGACAAGGAAAAAAATTATTGTAGGCAAGGAGCACAAATTACATTAGTCACGAAATACGTATAATCTTAGACATGAAATACATATTATCTTAGACATGGAGTACACATTATCTTATTCAGGTAATGCACATGAGGAAAACTGTTCAAAATTCTTTATCAAAAACAGGTGCCCTAGCCTAGCCCACGTAAGAAAAATTTGTGGAGTCAGAGTCGTAGAGCTTGAACAAAAACGCCTGTACGATTAATTCACAGTACAAATGCCTGAATTTCTTTAATGACTGAGTAAAAGGAGAAGTGATGAATGACAATGGGCCACTAGGCAAATGACTTTGGAAAATGTGTTTAATTACCGTTGATTCAATAAAAAACGTGTAATTAACGGTCATTCACCATCAGATGTCTATATAGTGAGATACGAAATTCAAAATTGCCTGTTAGAAATTATATCTAAATTTCGAGTGTATATGCCGTAGAGTTTTGGGAATGATTGCAACTTGATGGATTACACTGCAAAAACTATCAGAATCGTTATCATTTAGATAAAATTAATAGACGAGTCACAAGCTATCTGGAAAAGTTTAATGCTGTAAAAAAGCAATGTAAAGCTTACAATTCGTCTACTAAACTAGGGTAAAATGTTAGATTTGCTAACTTAATTAAGCTCAAAAATAACATCCGGACGCCGGCATGTATGGAACACGAATGCGCTCCTTACATTTCGTCTCATATGTAATGGCAGCAGCATGACTGAATTGAGACGGCCGGCCAACAGTTGACGACAGCCAACAGTTTTAAACGGTCAACATATGTTGACCGTAGTACGCTGGTATTCATGTGTGTATAACTCCTTTGAGGCCCATAGATCACGTCTAATTTTGAGATTAGTCATTTTCTAATTATATGAGTTCTAACCTATATTTTTATCGGTACTTGGCGTGTGGTAGCGTGAGCTTCAGGACACTCATGCATTTAATAAACACATTTCGGATAAGTTGTCATCATGATAATCAAGCTATGATTCAGAATAAAAAAAAAATATTAAAGAAATAAATAATTTCACGCCTAAACTCATGTATCGAAATATTCAGAGTTATATGTTCCCAACCGGGTGTCTATAGCATTTTTTAATGATGATGAGTCCGACGAAACTAGAGATATGGACGGCAAAGAGGCAGGTTAGAAAACCGGCACTGGTCTCTCTCGGCATTACAAACATCGTTCTGACTCATCGGTGTATCATGACGTATTGGTATCATACGTCGGTATCTCTCATCCGCATATCGTAACGTATAGGTATCACTCATCCTCTTCACTCGTTGATATCATTTATATCACTCATCGGTATCACGAACATCGGTATCACATCGGCATCACTCGGTATGATGCCTTCGAGGAAAGAAATGAGGATGCCCAAGGAGCAAGTCCAAAAACAGCATTGGTATCACTCTTGTAATATTGAATGTAAATAGTAAAAAATTAGGGCGTCTAAAATCATATTTCAACACGATTATTAAAACATATCGGTTTGCGCATATTTCGAGTGTCTAGGATTTGTAGGATTGAAGGATTTGTTGATTGAAGTGTAGGATTTTTCTTCAAACTTTATTTGAAATTCAATGCCTATGAGGAGCTTTTATGCCAAACCCAAGACAAACAACCTCAATGCAACAACTCAACCTTGATTTCTACCTCCTACAATTCTATCCACTATTGAATTATAGAAAGTAGAATTTTATTATTACTATATCCCCTCCTACCTCCCATTACTAATGTAACAATGCAATTCATTGTTAAAAGCACGTGAGGTACTAACTCAACTCAACTCAAGTATTTCTGTACGATACAGAACCATATTGTTCACCTAACATCTCCAAATGCTTTTTCTTCGCCC